CAGCTCCCACATGTCTTTGTTGGGTCTTGGAAAGGAGCTGGAAACCATTTCGCGAGACGGCTTTATGTCTTTACTGCCTGCTTTTGCTTTTTTGTTTCGTTGCTTTCTTTTGTGCCTTCTTTGCGGGCCCGGCTATCTTAGTTATGACCCTTTTGTGATGTGTTGAGCGCCACTTTCTGCTTGTTGCATGCTGCCCGCTGTCTTTTGTTGTTACTACTGCTGGCGTGCATCTAATCCTACAAGCAACTATAAGCCTTGGTAATTAGCTGCAAAGTGACCATTAGGCGATTAGTTGCCAGCTCCCTCGACTGTATTCCTCTCGCTTAAGTCCTTCATTGACTCACGCCAGCCATTCACGCACCCACCCATCCACTTGCTGTATGTCCATTGGCAATAGTAATCGCTACTTTACATACGAGCGTGAATTGCACTATGGGGTATAATTTGCTTTTTTCTGCTCATTACTCGTAATGAGCATATATTGTAATCGCCAATTGGATTCCTAGAAATCATCAATTGGTGACCCCTTGCTCCGTTAGGCTTGCTCTCTCACCAAAACGGAGAAGTTTGATGGATTAAACATTTATCAAGTCTAGTATAACTTTCTAAAATATTTTAAAGGAGTTCTTAACTGTGTTGTAACGCGAATAAAAATGAAATCAATTTAGGACTCCGATGTCGTAGATCCAGATTAGAGTTTTACTAAAGATTTTCTTTCGTCGTCGTTAGTCAAGGCATTCCGTTTTGACAAGAGTTACACAGCGATAAGATTACTGTTTCGCATGATGGGATAAATATTTCATTGAGTTTATTAAGGGGCATTTTGTTCGTCAGAAATAACCCGGAATACTCTTTATTAGGCAATGGCAAACAGATCCTTAGACCAAACTAAATCGGTTCAGAATGCCCAGTTATCTATAAAAACAGAAAAGTTAATTGATAATAATATCCTACTTTCCTACTTGCGTAATTTGTTTCTAGTTTTTAATTGATAATTGAAATTGGTTCATGATTCGGGGCATAATTCGAAGAGAAAATAACTGGCATATTTTTATACTCTGTACATGAAATGTACAAGAGTATATTAGGTTTGCGGGAGCTGAAAAATGTAACAGGCAGAAGGAGGCGTGGCAGACCCCACAAAGTATATATATTCTTGATCAGGATGACGAGACGAGTCGATCTAGCCCTGTCTGTCTGTCTGTCCGTCTGTCCGTCCGTATGAACACCTGGATCTCAGAGACTATAAGAGATAGAGACACCAAATTTTGCACAAAGATGCGTTATGTGTGTATTCTATACGAGTTTGTTTTATTTTTTTGATTTTCCCCCCACTTCCCCCCTATGGGGGTTTTCCCGATTTTCCATTCGTATAATCGCCTATATCTCGGAGACTATAAGACCTAGGAACACCAAATTTTAGTCCCAGATGCCTTATGTGAATACGCATGTATATTTTGGAATTCCCCTCCCTCCCCCCTCTACCACGCAAATCGTAACTCCCGTAATTCTTGGAATTTCGAACTAACTAAACTAAAATGGAAATACCCCCAGTTGGTTATTATGTGTCCGTATACCAAATTTCATTATGATAGACCGATTAAACAAGAAGTTATAGCCATAAATATATTTGCTGATGCAGCGCTGCTGCAGCGCTGCTCAAGCGCTGCCCGCGGCTGTTGTTGATGTTGCTGTTTGGTTGACTGCGAAAATGCTTACACAGACACGAATAGATGCGCATAGGCATACATACACTCACACAGACGCAATTGCTATGTAAATGTGCAATTATACACCCTTTACGTGAGTTCGAATACCGAGAGAGGTAAAATCGATCAATTTTTTTTTTTTATTTTCTTAATTTTTTTATTTTCTATAATTATTGTAAACATATGTACAGAGTATTTCAAAGTCGGGACACCCGACTTTAGCTTTTTTACTTGTTTTTTTTATTATTTTCTGGTCCTATTCCCTAGAGATAGTTGCAACATCCTTACTCCCTATTTGCTCCACCGTCTCCCACTGAATTATGTTCGTGTGCCATACCGTCTATCTTCTTAGCTTGGTTACCTGTCATTGTCGCTCATCTAATTTGCATTTGCATAGTTTCCTTTTGGCACTGGCAACCATTCTATATGCTTCATTTTGCATTCAACTAAATTCAAAATTTGATGAGTTTGCCAGCTTTATGGCCAAGCTAAGACCCAGTATACGAGTACACCCCACCGACCCACTCCTTGAGTTGGTCGCGTTGTTTTATGAACTGTTGCATACATTTGCTTGTCTCGTCTCCTTTAACAAGCTGACTTAGTATGTGATAATTCCTTTGCCCGATTTTCATTTTCATGTTCCAGTCGTAATGAGCTAAAAAATATGAAAAAAAATTTGTCGCAAACGTAAAACGTTTTTGTGGCGATATGGACGAGAACTTCAAATGCGGAAAAGCTGCAGCTCACAAAATTTCCATAAGTTCCTTTATTATGAGTGGTTTTTTTTTTTCGTTTTTGGTTGTGCTGCGTCCATTTCGCCCATTCTGCCTTGCATCGAAGTCTAAGCACACGCGACGCATTGAAAATTATTTACGATAACGATCGCATAATCATAATAATAATCACATTATAATAATTCTTGGCTTTATGTTTGGGCTGCGGTTTTCTTGGCCTAAAGCCTGCGGTTCTGCCACATGCCGCATACTTCCTGCCACTCTACCTTCAAGTATCCATCGCCCTTCGTCCCCAGGGTGCGCGAGGCAGACGTGTAATAGTTGCTAATAAAATGCAATGCCATCAAATACAACGAGCTTAGGGGCGTGTACTCATAATCGTGGGGCGAAATATAGAGTGGTTTGCTTTGCTAGTGGTTCTCTGTGGCTCTGTGGCTGTTTGCCTGTGGTTGTAAATTTTGAGTGGCAGCAAAAAGGCAAGCAAAAAATAGCAACTGCATTGATGTTATTACCTCAGCGAACTATTTGCCAAAGTCAATAAACCAAAATGACTGCCAACGGAAGGCGACAAACACACAAACACACACACACACACACATATATCAACATACACATGTACACACAATACACACACCTCTTTTGTTGTTGTTTATTTTATGCTTCAAATCGCTGCTAAATTATTGTTATGCTTTTGCATTGGCGCATAATTTCTAGCATGTTTTTTATATGCCCTGCACAGAAAGGGTAAAGGTTTTTATGGCGTTTGAGCCCCTGCATGTAACACCTGGCAGTAGTTTCGTTTACGTACTCCTATTATGATGAAGAGGTAATGATGAGATCTGCGGCTAATGCTCTATGTTTGTCTATTAATCTTCCTATTTGTAAGGCTCTCAGACTAAGAGACTAGGAATGTGAACAGTTATAAAATTTAGAGATCCAAAAATTGGTTTTGCTTTTCTAGATGCAGCATATACATATATAATCGGCAGAAAAATGTATATTTTATTTTTTTTATTATACCCTGTACCCGTAATGTAAAAAGGGTATATTAGGGTTGTGCAAAGTTTGCAACATGCAGAAGAAAGCATCTCCGACCCCATAAAGTATATATATTCTGAATCAGCATGACGAGAGAAATCGATCTAGACATGTCCGTCCGTCTGTCTGTATGTCCGTCTGTCTGCATGAACGCAAGGATCTCAGAAACTATAAAAGCTAGAATAACCAAAGTTGGTATCCAGATCTCAGAAGGATCTCAGAAACTATAAAAGCTAGAATAACCAAAGTTGGTGTCCAGATTCTCCTAGGTCAGAGAAAGGACGAGTTTATTTTTTTTTTAATTTTCCCCTCCTTTTCCCGCTACAGAGTTTCGTCAATAGCGTCCACATTTCAAATGCTACCTAAAGCAAACTTTGCACAAAATTTTTATATAATTATCTACTGTTGTTTTAAATTTTATTCAATTCGGTCAATTCTAAGAAAAGTTATTAGCGAAACAAATTCTTGCCAGTACAACTCCCCCAAAAGGCAGCAAAAAGTTCGCTCTTCTTCTTCCTCTTTTTGATGCTGCTATGGGCGCATATAACTCAGTGACGGAAGTTTACCTGGGTACAGGGTATTACGCTGTCGGGCTTGCTCGACAAAATGATCCATTTCTGTTTTGTTGAAAAATAAAGCAATACGCGAAATTCACTAAACTTGTTAAATACATTATAACAATATATAGTTTAGTTTATAGTTAAGTTTTCTTTTCTTTACGGCAGTCCTTACATACACTCTCAAGAACTATGTAGAATGAGATAAATAAGTAGATTTTTTATATTTAAAATGAACTCGAGCTCTTTAAAGCCTTGTTTTTAATAGTTTTAAAATTTTTAAGTTGAAAGATTCGTTGACCAATGACTATTGATTACTAAAATAAACAAATATTAGTTTGGAGTGCAATATTTTTCTCCCTAGGTATCCCCCTTGTGTGCAAGCCAGGTAGTATGCGCGGTATTTGTGTTACACCACTGGTAGTGCGATTATACTCTCCTCGCGACGGCGGCTGGAAGCAATTTCTCCAATCCAAGGCGGAACAGCTTAAGCCGATGGATGATTGGCTGAGGGAGTGCTCAGGATGCCGGATGGCAGCAAGGAAGAGTCAAGGCCAAGGTCAAGGCTTGTCACGATAAGCGATCGGCTGAGGTATATAAGAATGCAGTTGCATCCCTGGGCAAAATCTATCCAGCTGCCAAGATGGTAGCCATGGATTGGTGCGATATACCGAGCAGACTCCGACCGAGAGTCTGGGTATCATCAAAACCGGAGGATCCAGACCAGATCATCCGTATTTTCCAACTTTGCAATCCGGAATTAAAGACGGACGATTGGTGTGTGGCTAAGGTAGAGCAGGCAGCGGTCTGGTAAAATTATGTAAATATTAATTTAAATTTAGTCACTTTTCAATTAATGTAATCTATTACTACTTTATATTTCTTTATATGATAGTTCCCTCTTACCATTGTATAGAAATGAGAAAGGTAAAAGCATTAATATTGGCGACCAAACCCACCCCCATCCCCTACGGCATAAAAGATTAATTACATACGTAAGGAATTATACTTCAATTAATATTCGTAATGTAATGCTAATACGATTTTTTTAAGAATTCTAAATTCGAACTCTAAAATCTTTTGTTTAATTTTAAATGATGTGCTTGAATGCGCGCTCATGCTGGCGGCGGATTAGCAAACAACTTCAGAAATTACTTTATCGACAGTCGACATTAAACCAGAAAAATTCAGTAAGCTCGGCGTCAGTTAAAGTGAGGTATCTTGATGATCCCGATAAGTCAGAGGGCGATAAAAAGATGTATCGTGCTCTATGTCTTCCTAATGGCTTACGTGCTATGCTTATATCAGATCCGCGCACGAATGAGATCCCACACAAGAGTACAAGTTTTCATCAAGAAGCGCAACAAAAAAACGCATCCAGTACTGCTGGTAGCTCCAATACGTCCCTAGAATTCTATAATGGAAAGCTGGCTGCTTGCGCTGTACTCGTAGAAGTGGGCTCATTCAGTGAGCCCATGAAGTTTCAAGGCCTCGCGCACTTTGTGGAGCATATGGTATTTATGGGCTCCGAAAAGTATCCTGGCGAGAATGCATTTGACTCCTTTGTGACTAAAAATGGTGGGTTTAGCAATGCGAGCACATCGGACGAGTATACTTGTTTCTACTTTGATGTGGAGGAAGCGCACTTCGATAAAAGTCTCGACTACTTTATGAACTTAATGAAGGCCCCTTTAATGGAGCAGGATGCAATGACGCGGGAGCGTTCTGCTGTGCAGTCCGAGTTTGAACAGGCATTTATGAGTGATGATGTAAGACGAGATCAAATACTGGCAAGCTTAGCGACCGAAGGTTACCCCCATGGCACTTTTAGTTGGGGAAATGTAAAATCATTGCAGGACGAAGCACAAGATATCGAATTGCATAAAGCACTGCACGAATTTAGACAGAAACATTATATTTCTAATCGTATGATTGTATGCCTTCAAGCAGGACTCTCGTTAGATGAACTGGAACAATTGCTTATAACCCACTGCTCTGACATTCCAAGTAATGTTGACCAAGGGTTAAACGTCAAAGACTTACATTACGATAAGGCATTCCGTGAACAGTTTTTCCAAGAAGTCTTTCTTGTGAAACCTGTTGAGGATATGTGCAAAGTGGAAATGACATGGGTCCTCCCGCCCATGATCCCGTACTACCGCAGTAAGCCCGATTCATTTTTTGCACAATTGCTGGGCTATGAAGGCGAGGGGAGTCTATGCTCCTATTTACGCAAGCGTCTTTGGTGCATGAGCATTATTGCGGGAGCATTCGATAATAATTCAATTTACTCCCTATTTAATATATGCATATATCTTACAGACGAAGGATTTGATCATCTCGATGAGGTATTGATGGCCACATTTGCTTGGCTTAAGCTCTTTAACGATTGCAACACTCTCAACGATTTTTATAAGGAAATACAGCAAATTGCGGACAACAACTTTCGCTTTCAAATAGAGGTACCTGCGTTTCAGAATGTTGGAACCATGGCGCGTCGCATCAAGAATCTACCACCAAAGGACGTGCTCACAGGCTTCCAGATATATTTTGAATATGAAGAAGAGCCTGTAAACTTGCTTAAACAGCATTTGAGCAGTTTCAATTTCAATATCATGATCACCTCTCATATACCATATAAGGACTGCAAATATGATCAGAAAGAACGCTGGTTCGGCACACAATATACGACAATGCCAATTCCTCAGAAATGGGTAGATATGTGGCAGGATCCTCAGGCCTTTCCTGATCTAGCCCTCCCACCGCCCAATCCTTTTGTTACTACCGATTTCAGAATACATTGGAATGAGGCGGGTCGTCCTCAAATATCGCGTAAACCTAAAACGTTGATTAAAGACGACAAATGTGAACTATGGTTTCGACAAGACGATACTTTCCTCCTGCCAGATGGATTTATTTGCCTCTATTTTATAACACCACTAGTACGTTTAAATGTCCGGAACTACATGATGGCTGTTGTATATACCTATTTAGTCGATTTTTGTATTGCTGAGCAGCTTTACCCAGCGATTGAGGCGGGTCTAACTTACCGATTGTTCATTGGAGAAAAAGGACTATTTTTGATTGTAAATGGATACAACGATAAACTACCATTACTGCTGGAAATTATACTAAAAGTTATGAGTACACTCGATTTAGATCCAGCCCAAGTTGTGTCTTTCAAAGAGTTAAAAAAACGACAGATATTCAATGCTTTGATCAGTGCAAAATCCCTAAACCTAGATCTTCGTCTCAGTTTACTGGAAAGTCAGCGCTTCAATATGTTGGATAGATATGAAATACTAGATACTATTTTTCTAGACGACATACAATTTTTCAAAGAAAACTTCCATAAAGAGATGTACGTGCAAGGCCTTATACAAGGAAACTTTACCGAGCAGCAGGCTCTAGATATAATGTCAAAAGTACTGATGAATTACAAGAGTGAAAAAATCCAAAATTTTGAAATATTGAACAATAGCCTTGTGCAGTTACCCCTTGGATCCCATTACCTTAAGGTAAAGGCGCTTAACAGGGAAGATACAAATTCTATTGTCACCAATTACTATCAAATAGGACCGAGCGACATACGTCAAGAATGTCTGATGGATTTAGTGGAAATGATAGTGGAAGAACCATTATTTCATCAGCTTCGGACACAGGAACAGTTGGGCTATAGCCTTAGCATTCATCAACGAATAGGTTATGGGGTTCTAGCCTTCATTATAACGGTTAATTCTCAGGAAACTATAAATAGGGCAGAGTACGTGGAGCAGCGCATTGAGGCGTTTAGGGCACGAATACCAGAGCTGGTACAAGAACTGAGCGATGAAGAATTTCTTGCCGTTCGAGAATCTCTCATAAGTGGGAAAAAGTTAGCCGATACTAGCCTGGAAGACGAAGTAATGCGAAACTGGAATGAAATCGTGAACATGGAGTACTTTTTTAATCGTATAGATAAGCAAATACAGATGATGAACACACTATCAAAAGAGGATGTGTTGCAATTTTTGGCCGATTACGAAAGCAATCATTTGCGAAAATTATCTGTGCAAGTTGTGGGAAAACAAACCGCTCCCGTACGCACGCCTACAGATTCAATTTCCAGTGCAGTAATGTCTAGACAGGAGTCAACCGTTGGGCCAGGCAAACGACAAGGCTCCCTAAACGAATTGCTCGAGGAGGTGCAGCAGACCATATCTGAGGAGCAGCTCCTATTTGAAAGGATGGGCGATAATATTAAACTAGAATTCATAGGTAATAGTAACGATGGCTCACATATTGTCGACATTGCTGACTTTAAAAAGAACTTGTATATATATCCAGTAATAAATACAAATCCAAAATTTACAAATAAGTAATTAAAAAAACTTCGAAATCCAAAGGGGGGGAACATCAACTAGGAGTCTGAAATCTGAACTCGCCATTCTAATTGTTATTCTAATTTTGCTAGAAAATGTTATACCTAGCTCGTAGTTTATTTCCGGTCGATCGATTTCATCCGCGTAGAGCTCATTCTGTAAATTCACAAAATGCTTGCGATCCACAAAAACAATAGCATGTCTGATTGATCGTTCAATATTCACATCAGTCGTGCTTCTCTGGAAATATGCTAAATGCGAGAAGGGCAATAATGTAGAATAAATAATTACTTTATTGTATGACTAAATACTTAGCCCAGGAACGACGGGCAGGACCATCTTTGCATACAATATAATTCGACAATATACAACAGTGCTTTAAAAGCTGAAATTAAAAGCTACAACTACAGCTTCTATATTGTGTATTTTTTTAGAAATTCCCCATTTGAGTAGGTTACTCATACGCCATGTGTTTGAAATTGTGGATGCTTTTAAATGTAACGATTTGTGGTTTTTCACGTTTTTCTATTTTGCTGGCACGGCACTCGCAGCTGCCCAATATGACGCTTATAATATGCTTACTATATATGTACATATATGCTCATGCTATACTTGTATATACATATATAGTCACATAGTGTACATACATTTTTTTTCCAGAATTTCGTTTGTTTGTTTGTTTTGCGCGCGCGTTGCGGTTTGCGAACTAGTTCAGCAAATAAAGCAAGTTTTATTTATGCTTTGCGTGTCTGCTGTGAATTAGTGCCAAATTTGATTATCTATGGCCACACACCGACACACACAGCCGCATAGTTATAGACACATGGCTGCCCACAACCAGGAGAGAGAGAGAGAGAGAAAAAAAAAACAAATAACACACCTTTTAAAAGTAAGTCACGGCAGTGCTATATGCCGCCTATTGTAGTAGTTGTGATAGTTTTTGTTGTTGTTGCCTGCCCGTTGTCTATATTCATAACGCCCATATTAAATTGATTTCTTTAATCAATTTAAAATTTATGGGCTTCCTTTAACTTCTGATGAGTGAGCAGCGCCAGAAGTTGGGGGCGAAATTTATTTTAAAAATACTATATTTAAATTTGTTTTGAAGTTAACTTTTTTCATCATGTTTTGTGAATATCCTATGCAATTAAGTAAAGTGCCCTCTTACAGGTATAAAGAGTGTTTTGTAAAAAGCTTTAAAAACTTTTATGAATGTAGGTTTTGTTACACGGTTGTGTGCAATATTCAATATATTAGGAATAAATCTCAAGGTATTTAAAGACAGATACATAGATTGTTTTTTCTGTGGCAGCTATATTGGACTTATTTTGATAAAACTTCACGAAACACGAACAGACAGGCTTAAATCGATTATAGATTCCAACATCAGCTTTTTAGCAAATTTTTGCATTCTAGTTTAACCATGCGGCTGACCGAATGAATTTTTATTGAGCTTCCGCAAGTCAATATTTTGTATAGTTTGGAAAAAAAAGTAATATTTGTGTTACTTTGTTTAATTTGTATTCACCCAGATATAACCAATATTATATCACTTCAAATAGTCAAACGAAAATTAATATTAGATTTAATTTATGTAGGTACATTATCATGTTGGAGTTAACAACTGGCTGATTAATTAACGCATTACAACTAGCTCGGCGGTCATGCTTACTTTGTTGTATTAAATCAACTCTCTAACGCTCCACATGGTTCTTCCACCTACATAAATAAAACTAATTAACAAATTATTTTGATATTTTATTATCCCAGAAAGGAAAAGTATCAAATCTATAAAATGTTTTGTGGTTGATTTTATTTGAAGACTTTATTTTACAAGTCCGTTTCCACCATGTCGATGGCTCTGTATGTACATACTTGTATATGTATTGCAGATATGCATTGCATCAGTCACCATTTTACTTGCGAGTTAAATAAACGGATCGTGGCCAAGCCCATTGTAGTTATAAGCCGTTTAAAACTACGATTGTGCATCCTTTTACCTAATTGCGGACGCAAGCCGCGCATGGTTACAAAAGCCCTTTACTGAAGCATCTCTTGTCCCCCCTTTCCCAACCACAATTTGCAGCTGCGGTGGCAGCAGCATGCGGCATATGGAGCGGCACATTAGCCATTCATTGAGCACGTTTACGGCGCGCTTTTGTATGCTTCCCACACAAGAGAATTCGTTGAGAACTTTTGCATTCAAAGCAAAAGGTCCTTTGGCAGATTTACTGATTGATGGCTATTAATTCATTTGTTGTATTGCCCCCAACCCAGCTTCTAACACCCCTCACCATCGTATCCAGCAACTCCATCGCTCACTCACCCAGTATGGAGTGGAGTCGCACTCATGGCCTCAAGTACGGAAACTCATTTCGCTCATCCCCCCCCCCCCCCACTCCGTTGTGGGTTGTCAGGACCGTCGCTCGAGCGCCAAATAGGCGAATTAATAAAGATTTAGACATTGTGCGCGTCATTCATTGTTGCCGCTCGAACTCTCATCCGCAGTAGCAATCGCCGTTGCCGTCGCCTTTAAGCCCTAATATGTATGTATTCCCATTGCCAGCGTCTTGCCCTTTGTGCCGAGCATTCAGTGTGCTCATTGTGGGCTCGCTTATTATATTATGAGTATAAGGCGCATTATGCAGCAGACTTCACAGTCTAGCAAATTTTTAGCCAATTGATATGCTGCCTTAAAGGTCGTGTCAAGGCTGCTTTCATTTCATTTTTTCTCCAGCTCCAATTAAGCACACATAAGCTAGGTTGTCTTTGTTTTTCCCACCAACTTTTTTCTCGCAGCAAGCGTAATTTTCCATTAGCGTAAAAGCAACACTTTGCTTTATTGCATAGCAACTTTTATTTTTTTAATGAATTCTGGTTTCACAACTATCTGAATTACAAGTTTTTGGATTATGTTGCATAGGGACTAGAATCGAGAGCTTATACGAAGAGGGAGAGAAAGAGAGAGATGGTATACAAATGAATATAATGTAAAAATGCATTAAATGAAATGTTAAATAAAGCTTAATGCTTTACAATAATACAATAGAGTTATAATGCAGTGCCATTTACCTCCCTTTTATCCTGGTTTTCTTTTATTAAATTTTTGTGTTGAATGTAGATGCCGCGACTTCGTCCATCATGAGAGATTTTATTAAATATTAATTTTCATTAATTAATGGAAGCGTTCAACCTTTTTTCTGGCCAGACAAATTAAAGTATTGTTGCTCAAACTGGGATGAACCTCCATCGATGCCACTTTCCAAATATTAATATTTATATAATGGGACATAAAATACAAATTAAATTTGAAGTATTACGAAATCGTTCAGTTCCAAAAGGAAAACTGTCTGCTCATGAATGTACATGAAAAATGCAGGAAATATATAGAAAATATTACATAGATACTCAATTTAAAATAAATGCCTAATTATTACAGTTTTCGACGGAGACTTAAACTAAAATAGGTTTAGTATATAGTACACGTATGTATGAGCTATGAGAATTATTACAATTTTCGAGAAATTTTACAATTTTTTTACAAAACAATTTTGTAAGGCAAAATGAAATAATTTATAGCCAATTACTTAAAGTAGTTTGAATCTGTAGAGCTATTTGTAATGTAACGTATGAATAATCTAATGAAATACTATGTACATATATGTAAAGAATACATAGCCAACGCTGACTATTGAAGTTGTGCCTGCCTGCTCTTTTTCCAGCATTTGATTATCCATAGCCATTATTTGCGCGTCGCTGGTAGTTGTTATTGTGTTGCTCAGCTCAAAACTGCTTCCTTTTTGTGAAGCCTTGAATCTTTCATATAAGCTTTGATGGCGATTTAGTTGTATTTAAGGATCAAATTAGCTAAACCAGCTTTTTAGCAATTCAATAAGGAAATTAACATTTCAAAAGCGTTATACCAATCAGAGTAACTGCTTAGAAATCTCTCTATAGGACATACAGATAGTAAGACAAACTTTGATATATAGTTAACAATAGACAATATTTTGATTTTTTAAACAGTGATTTCTCTAATGTTAAAAGCTTAGGCACACAATGGGATATTTTCTTTTCACTTCATAGATATTGGCTCATTGAATTTGTATTCAATGTGGGTTAAAAACACGCAGATTATTGCGCAGCTATTGTGAGAGACATTTGAATTTTTGGCTAAAATGAATGACACTTTCAATTCTTTAAGCGTCTTTAGCTTTGTCGCACAATAAGTAGACAAGCAGTCAATAGCAGCATCAGCGGCAACAGCAACAGCAGCAGCAACAACAACAATAACAAACCAACAACAACAACAGCAACAGCAACAAGAAACACAGTGGCAGTAACAACAACCTCATAAATCATTCGCGACGACTGGCAATCGCAACGTCTGATTGACTGTCAAACAGAACATAACATTGGGAGACAGGGCAGACGAAGCACACGAGGTATAAACAAACACAATGTTCTCACTGTTGTTGCTGTTGCTGTTGCATAGACTATAGATTTAGTGTCGTGTGCATTTATTGTAAACGACATACAGTCAGTCAGGCAGTCAGTTAGTGATCTGAGGATTCAATGGATATGTTCCGGCATTCATATGCGCAGTCAGCAACAACATCAACATCAGCAAAGCGTAACAAATGAAATGTGACACATTATGCGGCGTATATATAGCTATATAATATATGCATGTGTGTGTATGTGTGCACGTATTAAATCAAATCGAAATGACTCACATGCGCAACTCTATCATTGCTAGAATTATGTAATAAGTCCGATTGATTACAAGTGCGTGAGCAATTTGATGTTCCCGATATTGCGCATACGCACCAAGGGCCAGTCAAACTGATTTCGAAGCCAATTTAGTGAAGGCCCAGATCCTGTTGTCGAGCTCGAGCTCGAGCAAATTTCGCGAATGTTAATTTTTTAAAAATCGACTATTTGAGAATGTTTGCGCGAATTAATTGAAATTCAATTCCAGG